CTGCCCATGGCCCAGAATTTTTACTCTTTCCACTACTTCACTGGGGTTTGTGAGCAGGGAGCATCACATAAGATTCAGGTGTGGGTGCCAGTGTTAGAACATTGGTTAAATAGCAAAATGAGACTTCTTTTGACTTTTCAAACAAATAGATAAGCATTGTATGTTTTCTTTCTGCACCCCAGTGGATCATTTTATGTACCTCTCTGCAGTTAGATGTGCCCTGTCCTGTACAGAATATTGCTTTGACCTAATGTCTCTGTGGGTTTACCCTACTCATTTTTGATCACACAAATCAATTAACATGCAATAATCAGAATTGTGCCTCTGCTACTTTGCCTAGACAACTCTAGTTTAATGTCATCAGCAAACCATGTTACCATGAAGAGAAACAGGATAGTCTGAATGCTGTCATCTTCTTCCCCCCTTGCTACTTCCCTTCCCTCCCTCCTTACACCACAGAAAGCCCTTAATAGTGAAAGTTACTAAGAGCAAAGCTGCAGAGGTATGGCAGTACCTGATTTCATAAGATATTAGGAAGCTCCAGTAATTAAATTACTGTAGTAGTTACATGAAAATATACATGTAGACCAGTGAAACTGAATAGACAGCCTGGAAGTAAACCTACATCCTACAAATGTGTAGTCAACTGTATTAACACAAGGGTAAGGAATAACACATCAAGAAATGGTGTTAGGAAAACTGTGTTTCTATATGTAAAATATTGAAGTTAAATGTGACACACTACCACCAAAGAACTAAAAAGGTATCAAAACCTTAACTATAAAGTCTAACACAGTAAAACTTAGAATACATAGGGTAAATAAGCTTGTAGAGCTTGGTTTTAGCAATAAATTGTAGGTATGACACCAGAACAGACAATTCATCAAACTGAAAATCTGCAGTGAAGATGTAGGTTTCTGTTCCACCTGGCCCCGCAGCTGATTAGCCCCAAATAAACACATGGATGCTATATTAATTATAAAATTATTGGCCGATGGCTAGGGCTTCTTACGGCTAGCTCTCTCTTGATTATTAACCCATTTGTATTAATGTATTTCTACATGGTCTTATCTTACCAGAGGAGGGTCTGGACCTGTTACTCCTTCCTCTGCTACATGGCATCTCTTCACAGTACCTCTCTGCCTCTTTCCCCAGCATTCTCCTCGTCTCCTAGCCCCACCTATCTTCCTGCCTCTACTAGTCAATCAGTGTTTTATTCATCAACCAATAAGAGAAACATATACACAGAAGAACATCCCCCATGACTGCAGTGCATAGGAAACTGTCTAAGTGGAAACACACCTGTGTAATAGGAAGCTATTTATAGGCTTTGCCTTCTGCTCCTTTGGTAAGGAGTAAGCATCTAAAAGATATATAGGGAACTTTTTTGTTTGTTTTACTTTTGATGCAGCTCAGGCTCTTCTTGAAATGACTGTATATTCTAGTCTTCAGTTGACAATCCCCTGCTTTAGCCTCCTGAGTGCTAGGATTACAGCAGTGTGCTACCAGACCCAGCACAGGAATCTTAATAGCCAAGAAGAAAGAAAGAAGGAAAGGAGGAATAAGGGGAGAAGAGAAAGACTGGGAAGGGAAGGAAGGTAAGAAGGACAGACCAAGGATCTGAATAGACATTTCTCTACAGAAACATGCCTATAGAAGCATGGTTAGCATTATTAATCTTCTGTAAAATGCAAATCAGAACCTGAAGAACCACCTTTCATCTGATATAGTGGCTGCTTAAAGGAGACACAAGAGCATGTGGAGAAGGAGAATCTTTGTACCCTGGCAGCAGTGTGAGTTAATATAGCCATTGTGGGAAACAGTACGAAGGATCTTCTGTCATATGAAAATAGAAGTGCTATTTACTCCTGCAGCCACACCGATGGATATGTATCCAAAAGAGATAAAAGTCATTGTCCCAAAGAGACACCTGCACACTCGTGTTCATCACTTCACCATTCACAATGACCACAGGGGCGTGAGGACCACCTGAATGCCTGTCATCAGATGAATGGATAAAGAAAATATGGAAGGGAGGGAGGGAGAGAGAGAGAGAGAGAGAGAGAGAGAGAGAGAACGATGCAGAAGGGGATTATGGAGACAGCCTAAATGCCTGTCTAAAGAAAATATAGGGAGAAGGGAAGGATAGAGATAGACAGGAGGGGGGATAGGAAGACAACCTGAATGTCTAACAACAGATAAGTGGGTAAAATGGGAAATATATGCACGTAATGGGATATTATTCATCATTTAAGAAGAGAGAAATCCTGGCATTTGCAAGAACATGTGTAGGTATAGAAGACACTATAATAAATTGAATGAACCAGATACAAAAGGACAAACCCTGCATGATCCCCTTTAATAAGGACTCTAAAGTAGAGAAACTCATAGAGCCAAGAAGTATGATAGTGGTGACCAGGGACAGGCGAGGGTGTGTGGTTTCAGTCAGAAACTACTGGGGCTGTCCAGCAGGATCTGTAGTTGATAAGACTGTAGCATGTGCATTTAACATTTGGTAAAAAAGGGCAGATCTGAAGTGTTCATACCACAAAAGGAACAAAAATTAACCTTTTTTTTTTTTTTTAAATAAAGAGAACGGGAATCATTTGAAGATCTTGTGATTTGTTTGGCTGGCTCTCTTTCCCAGCTTGAAAATACACATGTAAACTTCAAGTATAAAGAAACTGTATTTGATCATAAGATTTGTTACTCGCTGCTGCTGAGTGTGAGTTGTTAGCATGTTCCTCACTATCATTTGGCATTCTGTCGAGTTCAGCAATTGATTCAGGGGAAGACTGGATGTGGGGCTGTCTTCCTTCCCCTTCCCACAGCTAGTAGGATTTTAATCAAGGCACAAGGAGCTCTAAGTGAGCCTTGCTTTTGAATCTGCGTATCAGGAGGGGGCTGGGAACATGAGCTGGAGGATGTCATGGCACAGTGATTAATGGTCTGTAGGACCTGAAAAGGAGAGTAATATACACAGCCTTTCTACCCCCTGGAGGAGGAATGCAAACACCATTGTGTAAATGTGTGCATCGCCACCTACTTCCTGGTATCTGGGGAATCTCATGCACTCTTCTCCCACAAATAAAACTGTCAGAGAAGTGACAGGGCTCAAAGGCTGACCCTCCTCACTTAAAAAGAATAGCTCGGATACAGTGAGCCAGAAAATTAATTTTGTAGATGTTTGAGAACTGACTTGTTTAATAAGAAATGAGAAAATGGGAACTTTGCTTGGAAAGCCTTAAACACCAAATATTTGTTGACTCCAGTTCTACATTTGGCTTCTTAAATATGCCAAATTCTGGGAAACCCCCCCTTTCAGTAATTCCGAGAAGCTTCCCTTTGTAATAGAAAGACCATCTCAAAACTCTTCCAGCCAGTCTGTGATAGATTTAGAGAGCCATATGCCGATGGTTTCCAAAGCTGCTTGTCTTGTGTGGCGGGATGCTAGCATTTCAGAATGGCTTGTGATGTTTCAGAAAGTCATTTCTAGGTAAAGTTCTTTACTCTTCTCTCCAGTGACTGTAGTTCTTAATAACATCTCCAAAGGCTTAAGTGAGGAACAAGTCACTTTAATGTATAAATAAGGAACTATGGTTGTTTGAAAAAAAATCTAAAGTTTGTGTGAAAAGCGGTATGCTCAAACTGCCTTTGAGTATTCACAAACGATAGAACAGCAGCTTCAGTGAGGACAACAATAACTTACATCTTACCAGAATCAATTATTTATAAAAATGGTTCAATCGTTTTTCTTTTGCCTACAATTCATATTATTTTTTATTCCCACTCATTTTCTGTATTGTTTAATTTGTAATTTTTCTTTACCAATTTTTATTTTTCTGTAATATATAAAGAATGGGATATTGATTCATGGAGAAATAAAGCCATACTTCAAAATAAAACAAGAAAAACCTCTGTATTATTCTTCTGTTTATTTTTTTTTAAGAGTGTCACTATAAATTACATTTTAAATTGCTGTGGTCTAAATTAAGACAACATCAGCTGGATTAAGCCCTGGCTGCAATTTCCGAGTGGTTAGACTTGTAAACTGTATTTGCAAGAGTTTAATTTTAGTCAGGATGTGGTTATTTTTAGACTCTCTTCTGTGTCACTAGGAAATGCAATGCCTGTCTTTCCATTGTTGTTTATCAGGAAGTGCTAGGGTACAGGCTATTAAAATATAGTTCACATATGAACACTGCCTCTCCTGGTAGATAAAAATTCAAAATAGTACAGGGAGGAAAATGTGCACACTAAAAACATGCCTATTTCTGAATTTCTACTATCATTTTAACCTCTTCTAAACTAAGCAACAGAACGGGTTGTTAGGGAATGCCAAAAATACAAGGTTTGGGTTCCCCCTGCTGGTGTGCATCCCAGGTTTGCCTGGAATACAAGCTAGAAACAGCAGTGCTGGCCTCTTAAAGAGACCCGATGAAGGGAGGGGGAAGGGCACCATTTCTTTTTCCCTGAAAATGTCATATAAAAAATAGGATAATTTAAAAATTGTAGTTTGTACATTAGGAAAAACGCATACTAATACTCCAGTGTTTGCTTTTAATAGTGTTGCCTCTGATAAGCTGCTTACATGCATTGCTTCTCAAGTGTGTTATGTTGTAACTAAGGGATAATAAACACCAATGGACCCATAAAAGGAGTTCAAGCCCCTGGAGAAAATTCAGAGCCAGCATTGTCATAGTAAATTAAAGAACTGGCATTCCAGCTGGCTAATTCCTGTTTTAGCATTTCAGAAAGTGACGTGGCATCCTGTGATTGTGTCTGTCCATTTAACATTGCTTCTTTTTAATTAGTCATATGTATGTTTAAGACAGTTCTTTATTTTCTCTTAGTAAATACCATGTGATATTAATGGCTCATTTTGAAAAAGAAAAATTTTAATTGACTCCTAAAAGTCACCTTCAAACTTGGTATTATGTTTACATTTTAAAAGCCTATTCAATCAAACTAAAATACCGTATTTTCCAATTGCCTTTCAGCAATGCTGTCAACCTTTTAAGCAATGTTCCAGTCTCTTGTTTGGATGTTCTCATTTGCCCATTAACCCATGGAGAAACACCTCAGGAGGCAGCGACTCTGGATGAACTGCCTGGTGATAAAACAACTGAGAAAGACACAGCTTTGAAAAGCAATACCATGGTATACAATGGCATGAATATGGAGGCTGTTCACGTGTTACTCAGTTTTATGGAGAAGAGAATTGACAAGGTAAGGCTGCTAGAGTAGAGACAGAACACATGCACAAGCTCACAACTAAGCTTGCTCTTTACACTTGGCGTGCTATATAATTGTCTTTTTAAAAGTATTTTATTATGATAAATTGGTAGAAATCAAATGAGTTTATGTAGAAAATTGTGTTTTTATACCAAATGTATAACTAGGGCCTGGAAACAAAGGAAAAAAACGAATAACTGCCCTGCTTAGCTACTTTGTGAGCATTAGGAGAACTAACTTACTCTGAAATGACATCTTCAGAAGTGTTTCCTTCAGAAGTTGTCTCTAGTGTATCACTCAGTTTCTCTGGTGAGTGTGTTGAAAGGCAGCTGTGTGGTTTCGATGGCTCTGGACACCAGCTAAGCTGGTGGAAACCCTAGAAAATGTAGGAAAAAACAGAAAAGACAAAGCCAGATAGTGAAATGGAGACAACTTATGGAAATACTATTTAAAGGAACTTTAAAATTTGCTTGTAAGCTTTGGTATTATAAGATGTATCATCCTCCTTTCCCCCTCCTTCCCCTCCAAAAAAAATGTCTTCATGTTCTCAGGAGGAGAGCCATACTTTTAGGAACTGGACTAATACGGCATGCATGGTTTTCTTTATAGGGAAGCAGCTATAGAGAGGGTCTAACTCCAGTTCTCAGCTTATTAACAGAGTGTTCCCGAGCCCATCGGAACATCCGAAAATTTCTCAAAGATCAGGTAATTGCTTACATCTTAAATTTAAAATTTCGTATATATGTTGTTAACTTAGAACTAATGAATTCTAACCGGAAACCTTTCAGCCAGGAATAAACGCCCTTGTGCACGTCATCACTCATCTGTCCTTTATCTAGCACATGTTCACTGAAGTCTGTTATGTGCTGCTGTTAAACAGCTTTGAGTATTCAGTGCCATGAGTTCTTTATTCCCACAGGCTTTACCTTCTGGGAAATAACAAAAACAAGTGTAATAGCCGGGCATTGTGAGTGCTCTAAGAAGGGAAAGGAGAGGTGAGATGCAGGAGTGCCTCCTTGAAGAGATGACTGGTGGTGAGCAGGAGGCTGAGAAACAAAAAATGAATGTTGAAAGGAATCTGTCAGAAAGAAAAGGTTTAGAGTTCTCAGATGAGAAGCTTTGGTATGCTTCTGGGTACCCAGCAGCCAGTGTGCCTGAACAGAAGGCAGAAGGAAGAGATGATCAGTCCAGCAGAGTCCAGAAGACAGTGACAAGGTTGAATCGTACTTTGGATTCTCTTTAAATAGCTGAGAAAACCCTGGAATCTTTTCAGAGGGCTTGGTAGGACCTTGTTTGAATGGTAGAACCATTCAAACAAATGGTTGAAAAATACTTCAAATGTTATGTGTGGAGAGAGTATAGTGGAGCATGAGTGGATGCTGCCCTATGACATAGACCAATCCTTGAACAGCTAACAAAGGGTGAGAAAGTATAGGAGTGGCCAGAGTTCATTGTTTGGGCTATGTCTTGAAAGTGCAGCTCACATGCTGTACTGATGGATTGGGGCACAACCTGAGAAGACATAATAAGCTGTGAACCTTTTGATTCTGTCTTAAACTTCGACAGTAATGAACTTCTTAAAATTTCAATGTCAAGCACCTTATTTTAGTTACCCTTAGTCGGTGCTTTTAGTTCAGCCTTGTCTCTTCCCATGGGGAATGTACCATTCTTTTCACTCCCTGGTGCCCTTACTTTTCTCTTGCCTAGACAAGCTCGTATGCAGTTCACGACTGTAGTCTCTGCTTTCCAGATAGCTTTAACTGCACTCTTCCTCAGTCTTCCCGTTTTGAAACAAACAAACAAATGGTTGAATAAATGTGGCCTGCTACTGAGCACTTGAACTGACTAGTCTCCTTAAATTTAAAACTACCAACAAGTAGCTTCCCAGCACATTCCAATATATTTTACAGCTCCTTTTTCTTCAAAAGGAGATGGAGCTCCATGTAGCTCATAGTGTTCTCTAACTCACTGTATAGCTACAGATGACCTCAAACTTCTGATCCTCATGCCACCACCTCCAAAGTGCTAGGATTACATTTGTGTACCACACCAAATTTATGCAGTGCTGGAGATCCATCCCAGGACTTGGTACATACTAGGCATGCCCTCTGTCAACAGAGTACATACATGCTTGCCCTCTGGTAGCACTTGGTGTAAGTTCCTACATCCTTGAAACACTTCCTTTGGATCTTGGGACACAGTAGAGACCTTTGCTGCTCATCTTCCAAATCCTGAATGTTTGCATGCCTAAGACAAGTGCATCTGTGTTATCTCTGTCCTCCCTTGTTATCACATCCCAATGTACTGACTCTGAACCCATCTATATGCTGATGATTCCCAGGCATGCATGCTAAAATACAACCTGAGCCAACCTCAGATTCCCTAGACAATCATGATGAACTGCTCATTTTTGAGTATTGGATATGTAGTGGTTTCCCTTTAGCATAGCCCTAATTAATACTGTAATTTCCCATCCTCCTTTCCTGATGGTCCCTCTTCCTTTCCAGGTCTTTACTGGCACCACCCTTTACTTCATTGGCCTTTTATACATAAATCAGAGTCTCTTTGACTACGGTGATAACTAGGTAGACAACTTACTGTGTATCAAGCACAGAAACAGTGCTAATAAACGACATCAGAAAGCAGGAACTCTTAAAAACATGGTCCTGCTTCAGCCAGATAAATGAATGAGCTCTTCTTAGGTGTGAGTTTGATTACTTTAAAACACTCTACCTCGACTATAAGAACTTGGTGAAGAATAATAAATGAAAATATTTTATGGGGCTAGAAAGATGGCTCAGAGCAATGCTTGCTCTTCCATAGGACTCAGGTTCAATTCTCAGCACCCATATTGTAGCTCACATCTGTTTGTACCTCCACTGGTAGGAGGTCTAGTGCCCTTTCTGCCTCCACAGCCATTGCATGCACATCTGTACAGACATACATTCAGGTAAAATACCCACACACATAAAACATAAAATAAATATTTTTCTTAAAAGAAACTTCATTTTCTGTGTTTTTACTTATTAATAGAAAAGCAAGGTCATGTATGAATCTGGGAAGGCTTAGAAACAGAAGGATGAGCAGAGTGGGAGGCAGCAAACATCTGCACAAAAATCTATCCAGTTATCCCCAGTTAGTATAGAATCATGCAGATTGTGTCATATGTGGAGAAATATTCCCCCCTCTCCCTCTCCCTCCCTCCCTTCCTCTGTCCCTCCCTCCCTCCCTCTTCCCCCCCTCAGATATAACCCTAGATAGCCTTGAATTTAATATGTAGAACAGACTGGTCTTGAACTCAGAGATCCATCTGTCTCTACCCCCCTAGTCCTGGTATTAAAGGTCTGCACCACCATGCCCAGCTTCTCTTTGAAAACGTAACTATTTGCCCTTGAAACTGAGTGTAATTGTGTATGCCTCTAGTCCTAGCAGAGACAGGAGAATTGCTCTTAGTTCAAGGCTAGATTACAGTATATAGAAAATTCAGGGCCAGTCTAGATTATACAGTTAGTTTGAGGACAGCCAAGAAGAAGAAGGAGGGAGAGGGGGAGGAGGAAGAGGAGGAGGAGGAGGAGGATGAGGACGAGGAGGAGAAGGAGGAAGAAGAAGAAGAAGAAGAAGAAGAAGAAGAAGAAGAAGAAGAAGAAGAAGAAGAAGAAGAAGAAAGGTCAAGGTTCAAAAACTAGCTGTATTTACTTTTTCTAATATGGACATTTAGAGAAACCTATTTGCTAGCCACATACTATATAGGTGCACAAGAGTATAAGACCCTCTGTCTCCTTGGGAAACACTGTAGTGTGGGTGAGGGCTTGAGACAGGACAGGTAAAAAGATAACTAAAGCTATAAGGTGTGTTCCTGTGAAGCATACTGCAGGGAAGTGGGCTTGTCTCAACATTTTTGGAGATCCAAGGTTGAGAGACCACATCTAGTGACAGCCTTCTCACTGCCATCCCCAAGGAGATGCAGACATCGCATGACACATTAATTGCACTGCATGTTGCTGGGACAAAAGTCCTGACAGAAGCAACTGAGGGAGAAAGAATCTATTCTGGCTCATGGTCCATCATAGTAAGGAAGGCATGGCAGAAATAGCAGCTTCTAGCTGTGCCATGAGGAACATGAAGCTATTTGTTCCTATCTCAGCAAACCAGGTAGCAGAGAAAGGGGAAGCCAGTATTCAGCTGATTTGTTCATACTCATTGTTCATGTCCTCACAGTGCAAAATAGTCACTCCATTTCCAAATAATTTTAACTCTTTCTAATATCCCTTGAAGGTACATAGTGGTAGCAACCTGAGCTACATAGTGAGACCCTGTCTCAAAACAATAACAGGTGGCTGAGGTCATGGCCCAGTGGGTAGGAACATTTGCTACATAACCAAATCCTTATTACCCACATAAACAAGTTGGGTATGGCCATGCATTGCCTGTAACCTCAAGCACTGTAGGGAGACATTGACAGGAGGATTGATGAGGATTGATTAAGGTAGGTCCAGGTACAGTGAGAGACTCTGCTTCAAGGGAATAAGGCAGAGAGTAATAAACAAGACACACAATGTCCTCTGGCCTCCATGTGTATGCCTACATGCATGTACACACACAATAGCAACAAAAAGAAACTTTTGAAAACTCAAGGCAAATTCCTTCTATCTGTAAAATGAAAATGACTTTTTACTTTCCAGTGTGCAGTGGTAGCATAACCACCAGGCATATACTTCCATTCCAAAAGATAAGCAAACACAGGGAATTGGCTCAAAGCCCCAGGGAAGAGGGAGACACTAAAGTTGGGCATCTTAAACACTCTGCAGTTTCCTGCGGTTTTGCTGGCCATTGCCCAGATGACTATGTGCTAACATCCATAGCTTTCCTGAGCAAGGGTGACATGTTGCTAGTCTCCCTTTGTTTCTTGAGGCCCTGCTATAGCTCCACTTAAGCATCTCTACTATGCATCATCCCACCACTCATTGCAGGGTCTTGAGCCTGCAGCAGATTTGTTTCTGCTTGCCCTTGCCTGAAATTGTGGTTGATACCATCATGGTCTCATGAGTCTTATATTCTGCACACCTGCAGAAACAGCACCATGTAGATGGCAGAAAAGTCTGCTCTGATGTGAAGTCTGCTTCTGCCTGAGACAGTGATATCCTGAAAGGTCTATTGTCCTGTAGTGGAGGTGGGGAGTGACTTAGGAGATGTGGGAAGTGACGTCAAGGCTTTTATATAGACCTCATAATTAGCATTCTTGCCAATCTCAACAGTCTTTCAGTGTATATTCCTAAGCCATACCTTTAGTCACATATTTTATTCCTTCCTTGGGAAGGCTGCAGATTTTACAACTCTTTTATTCCATTTCCCTTTGTTTCCAACTCTTACTATAAATCTAACAATAGCCATAACACTAATATCATAACCCAAACATTTTGTCTTAAAATTTCTCCAGCCAAATAAACTAGTTCAGCACTCCTAATTCCAGCCTCTGCAATGTCTTAGGACATGGATTCATTATGGCTGGATTCTTTGTAACAGTGTAATAGTAATGGCTTTCTTTTTTTTTCTATTTTCACATTCGATTCTCATTTCCATATAATACTCGTTTCCTGGTTTCTTCCTTTTCTGAGCCCTACCAGAAACTCCAATTAAACCATGTTCCTCCAAATTCTTCCAACCTCTTCTAGTCACCCACTTCCAAAGCTGCCTCTATTTCTAGGTAGAGTCATAGCAAACAACCGTACTTCTGGTACCAGTTTTCTGTGTCAGTCTGCTCATCATTACTATAGTGAAATACCTGGGACAGCCTAAATTTACAGAGAAGACAGATTTCTTTAACCTGGAGATTTAAGAGTAAGGCACTGGCATTGGTTTGGCTCTGGTAAGGACTGCATGGCATATGTCAGAAGCATGTATGCAAGGAAGAAGGGTCACATCTCAAAGCAAAAAGCCAGAATAAGCTCACTGTAGCTTATAACAGCTTGCTATCCTGCAAGCTCAAGGGTCTCAGCAGAGTTACCTTAATCCTCTGGAAACAATTTCATGACCTAAGAACCTTGCAATTGCCTCAGCTTTTAAAGGTCAGCTCACCACCTCTTGTTACCACCACACTAGGGATCATGCTTTAACATATGAAACCATAGAGAATGCACAGAGAGTCCAGCACAAGTGTACAACACAGGGAGATAATGAATGTACTTACCTATCCCAGGACCCTCCCTTGCTACCATTGCTTACATATCTTCACTGCTGAGCCTGCCCACTTTTCTGAATGGTAACTCAAAAGCATAACTTTGTCTTATCCTTTTTCTGTTCTTTGGCTATTGACCAAAATCCTGAGTGTATTTGTCCTGACGATCCCCACCCCTTCTACAACTGTTTACAGACTTCCGGTGCTGATTGTAACTCAAAGGCCATGACTTCCTTTCTCTCTTCCCCACCTTCCTCCTAGCAGCTGTCCTGTAGTTTTTCTTTGGAACGCTAATAAAATGGTCCTTGAACTTCAAAGAAAGGGAAGAAAGGGAGGAGGGAGAAGAAGGAAACAAACTTCTAAAGAGCATGCTCTGTAGATAGTGCTCAAGAAAGGCAGAACTTAATGTAGCACATGATCTCAGGGTGTGGCTCATTGGTGAGCGTGTGCTTGGCCACAAACTTAGTCTCTGGGGAAAATAACAGATAATTAGCTTTGACAATACTATAGTTGAAGTTATGTCTAAATAGTTACTGCATGAAATAGCAACTACTTTATTAAATCTAAGTCAGCCATACCCACAGGAATCTGGCCTTGGGTGCTCTGTTTGAGCAGTTACATATGAAAGCAATGGAAAGTACTGACCCAGGTTGTATTAGTCTATGGTCTTAAAGAAGAGATACTGTGGTGCAAAGAGAAACTGGATATAACTTAGCAAAAAATTGTTGAGGGATAATGTGAGGAGAGATGCATGTACCATTTGGTAGTGACCTGTAGCTACTAAGTTTAAGAAACCCAAGGAAGTAGCTAACAGATTTTTGCATGCCAATCTTTTGACTATAGATTGTGCACACTGGACATTAAGGAATCTACTGGAGGAATCACTGCTTAGAAATCACTCATCACATGTCTCATTCTTCTAGAAATAGGAAATAAACCTATGAGAATCAACTCAATCAAATAAGGATGTATTGTGCAATTACCTTATGCCTTATGTTAGCCCCACCTTTCTAGAGATATTTATATGTCTTATAAACATTTGGGTAGACTAATTGTCTAACATTTTCTCTCTATGTTTTAATTGTATTACCAAGCCCTGTACCTTCTGTTACACTCTATAGAAAAAGAGAGATGGAAGGGAACATTTAGTTATATAGATTAAATAAAGGCTACACGTATACAGTCTGAATAGGTGCACAGTAAATCATTCTTCAGCTTTGTAATGTGCTTCATTTCCTAGCACAAGGACTAATTCTTATATAGAAGGCTGTGGTTTGGGTGCAGTTTTTCCCTATAAAGACATTAGAAATTTGATGTCCCCCAGGGTGACAGAGGTGGGTGATGATGTGGAACCTTTAAGATGCATAGCCTCATGGAAAGTCCACAGGTCACTGGTGGCATTGCCTAAGTGGGGTTAAGACATTCCTTTGGGCCCCTTAGCTCTCACAAAATAAATTAGAATAGGCTGACCCTAAAATCCCCTGCCTCTGTGGCACCATCCTCCCATAGGCCCTCACCCGAAGTAGAACCTGTGGGTAGGATCACCCGATCTTGGATTTTGAAGCTCCCAAACTCTAAAGGTAAACTTAACATGCTTTGGGCCTTTTCTTACACTTGCAGAAATGGACCAATACACCATATAATGAAAATTACTTGTATTTATTAATTTCCCCTCTAAATCAACAAATACTTATTGGACACATAATATTCCAGGCACCGAGAAGAGACTAATAAAGAAAGGGGAAATTGTCCCTATTGAACTTACTTTTGAAGAAGATGATAGGATAAGCATTAAGGCTAAAAGAGAAGTGCTCAGAAAGACACACCTGGAGCATGAGTGCATGCTTCTAAGAGTCACAGGATGTACTTCCATGGAAAAAGGAGCACAGTCAGTATTTACTATGCCAGGGGTTGGGAGGAGACAGAGAGAAAGAGAGACAGAGAGGGAGGGAGACAGAGAGAGAAAGAGACACAGAGAGTGCTATTTAGAGAAAAATTCTTGGTGATGAGAGGTTAACTCTTACCCAAATGCTTGAGTCTAGAAGTGTTTCCGATTTATAATGTTTTGAGATTTTTCAGATATCTGCATGGATTATATATAGTAAGATATCTTTCAGTGGAACCCAACTGTAAATATGAAATTCTTTCATGTTCTGTATACACCTTATACCCAGAGCTTATCTTCACTTAACCCATCACATGAAGTTCATGTCCCTTGTCACATGGAATTTCCATTTATGGCATCATGTCAGTACTCAAAGGCTTCAGATTTTGGAGTTAGGAATATTCAACCTAAAATAGCCATTTTTATTATAAAATTAAACAACTAAAAGCATAAATCCATATTTTTTTATAAATCCATATTTTTAAGAATTAAATACTGAATATGCTGCTAGACTTAAAAGAATCAAGTCAGTATGGTTTGGGCTAATAGCAAAGTATGTGGAACAATGGGAAACCGTGAGCATTGGTGTGAATGGAATGTTGGTTCTTAGACATCGACTTTCTCTCCTCCCCCTTCACTCCTCTCTCTCATTGCCTTGAAACTGTCCAACTAGGCTAGGCTGTCTCCTGTCTCTATTCATCCACTCCCCTGCCCCACTCCCCTCTGCCTACCCCTCCATGCTAGGATTGCAAACCCACGCCACCACACCTGGATTTTTCCTATGGTTTTTGAGTATTGAACTCAGGTCCTTGTGCTTACACAGAAAGCTCCACTGGCTTTACCCCTCTGTTTGGTTTTGGAGATAGTCTTGCTATGTCTATGTAGCTCAAGCAGACTTTGAACTTAGCCTCCTCGCTCAGCCTTCCATACACTTGTGTGTGCTATCATGCCCAGCAAGAAAGAGAAACTTGATACAGACTTTTAAATTAATTTTGTGAGGCACTGCAGGTGTTGATATGGTGGGTGACACAGGGAAGACAGGGTTCTGAGGTCTGGTTGTTGTTAATGATGATGATAATGATAATGGTTAATTTCATTTTATTTGGAAGCTAACATTTATTTTTGTTACTTTAGTAACTCTAAGTGTAGTTTCTTCTAAGACTGACCAGTTGCATGGTACCCTTCTCACATACCCCAGGACCCTCAATTGATGATGGTTCTTTTGATTTATGCCATCAGGTTTTACCACCATTGAGGGATGTGACAAATCGACCTGAAGTTGGCTCAACTGTGAGAAATAAGCTGGTGCGCCTCATGACACATGTTGACCTTGGAGTCAAGCAAATTGCTGCTGAATTCCTTTTTGTCCTTTGCAAAGAGAGAGGTAGGTCAAACTCTCTTTGCCCTATATTTTGTATCTTTTGGAGGAAGTTTGAGAATCTCCTGTTGGTTGTAGTGTTTGATGCCCTCTAAGAGCTGCAGAGCTGATTGCTTACCTTTTATTATAGTGGCTGTGCAGATAACAGGCAGTAGTAATTAGACAACGTTGTTAAGTGCTCCCAAATTCCCAAACACACAGACATGTAAACTTTGCTTTGTGTGCACTTAACATAGACCTTATAGCATCTCGGGCTTGCAAATCATTGTAAGAGGTCTGCTCCTGTTAATGACCAGGTACAGTTTTCAGTCGGTTCTTCTTCCTCTTGAGATGGCAGTAAAAGTTTGGTTTCTTCACTGAGTTCTGCACTCTCTCTAGTCACAGAATGGTAATTTGTGATATACTGCATAGAAGTCCAAAAGTCTACTGTGGGGTGACTTTGCCCTTGTGATAAAAGTGACATATTCTTGTTTATTAATATCTTTGTATAGAAATCACATCTAAGCAGATATGATCACTTTGCCTTTGTGATAACAGTAATGTATTCTTGTTTATTAATATCTTTATACAGAAATAACATCTAAGCAGATGCGATCACTTTTTTGAAGAACCCCCGTTTTTCAGTTCAGAGATGAAAAGCAGTCCTCAAAATTTTTATCCATTTGTTCATTTATTTACTTTTTTTATGCTGGGAATTGAATTTTGGGTCTCATACATGCTAGGTAATTGCTCTACCACTGAGCTATACACCCAGTCCTCAAAATCTTAAATCTTCTGTATTCTTAAACCTCGTTTCTAATTTTTTAATTCAATCACTTAAATTCCTATAGGGATAGCACATTATTAGCAACGTAATTGAAATGTTATTATAATGTTGATGACAACTTTTAGAAACGACAGGCGTCCTATGCCTAAAACCACTTAATCCCATAGGGACACTCTTTATGCTAATACTGCTTCAGTTTCATCTTCTTGAACTATTAACTTCTTCCATGGTTTGAAAGAACATTGCTTTGCATCTTGTAATCAGATAGTTCCTGTAGTTCTTATATGTGTTGTTAAAATACTGGCTGATTGTATATTTATCTTAGATAAAAAATGAGCTGTGTGGAGGCTGGGAAGATGAGTTGGTCAGTAAAGTGGTTGCAAAAGAATCTGAATTGGAATAGAGAGAGAGAGAAAGGGAGGCAGGGAAGAAAGGGAGGAAGGCAGGCAGGAGGAAGGGAGGGAGGGAGGGAGGGAGGGAAGGAAGGAAGGAAGGAAGGAAGGAAGGAAGAAAGGAAGGAAAGAAGGAAGGAAGGAAAGAAGGAAAGAAGGAAAGGAAAGAAGGAAGGAAAAAAAAGAAGGAAGGAAGGCAACAAACCAAGCTTGGTGGCACACATTTATAATTCCAGTGGAGAAGCAGAGACAGAAGGGTCCCTTGGAGAAGGATTCTTGCAGCTTGTTGGACACACAGTTCAGCTTGATTTTCAGACTTCAGGACAGTGAGAGACCCTGCCTCAAAAGACAGTGAACAGCATCCCAGAGGAATGACACGTGAAGGTGCCTTCTAGCTTCCACATGCTCATGCACACACATTTGTGCCTGTTTTTAAAAGTGTGTGTGTGTGTGTGTGTGTTGCTTGGAGAACAGGGCTGGAGGGGCAAGGGGCTGCAGAGGCAGGAGAGGAGGCACTGATGGATAACTACAACTCGATGCTGCCATTAAGGAACTGTAAACTATCAAATAACTTTCTTTTTTATTATTGAAAATAAAGTCTTCTCTCTTACAATACATCCCGACCAGGTTTTCCCTTTTTCCCCTCCTCCCTGCTTTCCATCTCCTCCCTTCTCCCCCAGATTCACTCCCACCCCCATCTCCCATCAAAAAAGAGCAGGCTCTGAAGAGACAGCAACAAAACAGGACAAAACAAAATAAAGCAAGGCAGAAGCACCCTCACACTGAAACTGGACAAGACAACCCAACAAGAGGAAGAGCCCCAAGAGCAGGCAAAAGAGTCAGAGACACACCAGCTTCCACAGTTAGGAGTCTCACAAAACCTAGGCTAACAGCTACAACATATGCACAGGACCTGATGCAGACCCCTGCAGACCCTGTGCTTCTTGCTTCAGGCTGTGAGCCATGTGAGCCCTGCTTAGTTGATTCAGCAGGCTGTGTTATCCTGGTGTTTCCCATCCCCTCTGACTTCTACAATCTTTCCATCCCCCTTTCTATGGGATGCCTTGAGTAGCAATGGAAGGGACCTGATGGAGACTCCTAATTGAGACTCTGTTTGCATAATGTCTGGCTGTGGGTCTCTGCATCTGCTCCCATCTGCTGCCAGAGGAAGCCTCTCTGATGATGACTGGACAATGCACTGATCTAGAAGTATAGCAGAATGTCATTAGGAGGCATTTTATTGATTTTATGTTTGGTTCTACCCTAGCTAGGTCTCTTGGTTCATCCAGTCTCCGGTACCTAGCCATCACTTTGTTGAACATGGGCTCCCTCTCATAGAGTGGGCCTCAGTTAAATCAGATATTGGTTGGTCACTCCCACAAGTTCTGCAGCACCATTGCTCCATTACATCTTGCAGTCAGGACAGATGGTTGGTCAAAGACTAGTTTGGTGTCCAGGTTTCTCTTTCTGTAGCCTGAAGAGTACCTTCCTGCACCAAATAGACTTTTTGATGTGAAGGTTCCATACAGGCACTAGCTCAACCTCTCTGTGTTCAGTGCGCTGTGTGGATGTTGTCCTTGGCAATGGGGCTCCCACTGTCAGTTTGTGAAGAATGACCCTCTATTAGGGCATCAACCTGGGTTCTGGGGTCTCCATGGTAGCCCCTTGGTTAACAGCTCAACCAAATATAACCCAGTCCTGCCACTGGAAGCCTTGCCTGGTTACAATAGATGGCCAGTTCAGACTTCACATCCTCCATTACTAGGAGTCCTTACTAGGTCATCTCATAGATTCCAGGAAGTTTCCACTGCACTGGGTTTCCATACAACCCTCCAGATACCCCTCCCCCAATTCCAGCTGTCTCTTCCCCACAGGTCTTTATTCATTTCCTTTAACTTATTTTCCTGGTCTCCTTTAAGGGAGTTATTCATTTCCTCCAGTTGTTTGTGTTTTCCTGGCTTTTTAAAAGGGATTTGTTAATTTCCTCTTTAAGGACCTCTGTCATTTTATATAGTTTGTTTTACCCCCCCCCCTTTTTGTGCTTTAGCTGTATTAGAATATCGAGAGCCTGCTGTGGTAGGCTAGTAGGACTCTAGTAGGGACATATTACCCTAGCTGTTATTAATTGTGTTCTTATGCTGGCATCTAGGCATCTTGGTTTGGAGTGATTATAGGTCTAGGTACTGATTTCTGGATTTGCCTTTGTTGGGTGTATGTTTTGTTCCTTGATTCCTGTTTGCTCTCTGAATTTTCAGAGTGTTGGTCCACCCAGCTGGTGTGTTCACAGGGAATGCCTGCTGGTGTTGGAGGTGGGGGTGGCAGCAACAAGTTAGGAGAGGGAGAGATGAGGGGGTGGTCTGTAGGAATCACAGGAGATGTGGGTGGGAGGCATAGCTGGTGATCTGTTGCAGTGCTAGTGATGAGCCTTAGGGATTGGGTCTGGGAGAACAGAGAGTGGAGAATGTCTGTTTTGCAGGTGAGATAACTTTCAAACAGTCAGAGTAGCTGAAATTTCTACACTTAGTAAAGCCAAGTTGAATGTGAAGTGCTGTGATCTGTGTTCAAACCACAAAGAGCAACAGTTGGAAGCAAGATACAAAGGGTAAAGCCCTAGGAGAGACTAGGCATGGAAGGAACACCCAGTTGTCTTAAATAGCCATCTGTGCCAGGCCAGCTCACTTCTCCAGCCAGCAGGAGCCAAAATGCTAACTGGGTCATGCCACCAACTTGTGTTGAACTGTGACAAAACTAAAATTTTATTATCTTCCATGAAGTCAGTGCTTTCTGGAAATCACCCTAAGCAAAAAACAAACAAACAAACAAAAAAGCTAAATTGAGAAAAACAAACACTGCTCATATGTGAAGTTTAAATGAGAGAATGTGAATCATAAATGTAGAAGGGAGAACAAGAGCTTGGAGTATCTGGGTAATGAGATGCATGAAAGCAGGAGGGAAGGCTGTCTATCAGGGAAAGAGGAAACCAGGAAGAAGGCAAATGGGTTAGAGGAAGTGGGTAAATAGGAACCAACTGTAATGACATATGTGTGTGAAAATACCATAGAAAACCTTCTCACCTTGCATGCTAACATATTAATAACAATTTTCTAAAAATAATAATTTTAAAACTACTTTCAGACTCCTTAAAAATAGCCTACATAGCTATCTTAACCAAAAGAAAGTGATTTCTGAAATAACGCAGTACTTCCAGTATATGGTAGGCACTGTGGTAGGGCTGAATTACAACAGTAAATTCAGCTTGAACCCTTTGGCCTATAGCTCACACGCACAATTCTCTTGTGCTTCCATCCTAGTGTCAGGGCCATAGGCATCTCTCTAGCTTGTTGTTAACTTGACTCTTTACTGTTCATATTTTTCTTCCTGTCTTCTCAGAGGCCTTCCTCTATGAGTTGTTCCTCTCTATTGTTTGGTTTAATTTTTTTAAGCTCTCCTTGTTTGTTCCTCCACTAGTCAATAGCCTTCCCCATCTTGGCATCTTGGAAGACTGATTGCTTTCTTTTTTCCAGGACCCTCTCTACCCAGAGAGACCTCACCTTGCCTCTAGTCAGCCATTTCCTTCTCAATTCCAGTAATAGTAGAACATGCTTCTCACTGCTACCCTAATCACTGAAAATACTCTCAGCAAGCTCAGCAGTTCTTAATTATCTGAAGCAATGACTTTTTTCATCTGTATCCTACCGTGGCTTTCATAATAGTTGACGCTTGACTGTTCTGAATATGTGTGTACTAGGGCAGTCGTAGATATTCTTTGACAACTGTTCTTTGCAGTCCTGCTTGCCAATAATTATCCTGGTTCCACACTGAGCTCTCTGTAGTCATCCTCTGAACCCCATCCTCTCTATCTGTGCCTTCTACTTCAGGATGAACCCTCATGTATAGCCACCTACATACCAGACATCTGCACCTGAGAACTCACAGCTCCCTCCATCTCCTGTCTGAAAGTAAATGCATTGTCTCCAGTGGCCATGCCCCTTCACCTTTCTGTGTCCTTTGCTCACTTCTTCTGTAAAGGAACCATTATCTATAGTACCCTACCCACTTTCTCAATATGTAAAACTAATTATACCTTACAGACTATTTCCTAAATACCATTTTTATTTGTTTCCTGTTCTGTTCCCACACCACTTCTTGTTAAATATCTTTAAAATCATTTTTTTAAATATTAAAATAGCCAGATCTCCTGTTTCTTCTAATTGGATTTTTTTTTTGTTGTTTGTCTTCCAGGTTTGTTATGTCAGAGGATTTGTTATAAATGACACAAACTTGTCATTGCCTCCTTGTAAATTATTAGTGATGTCTCATCACTTGCCTGATGAAATCCAAATTTTGTTCCCCCCCTCTTGCCTCTGTAATGTTTTCCTTCTGCTAATGTGCTACCTTTCCTATTTATACATGCTGATGCTTTAGTGTTGTCTGGGATGCCCTTCCCCTTGTTGTCAGCATGCTAAGCTTTGTCTTTGAAAACCAGCGTGGACATCATTTCTGAAGAATTCTCTGGCCATCCAGGAAAAGTTGATCATTCTCCATTGTGCCTTTTTTACTTATTTGTCTTCTTTTCGAGCTTTTACACTTTTAACTCCATCGGGCTTGCATTCCCAACATCAAGTTTCATTAGGTTGGAGACCTTACATCTTACAGATAGTAATTGTCCCATAAATGTTAAATAAAAGAACAAAAATTGTGCTCCCTATAAATTCAGTCTAGTGGGTGTGCTATCTTGTGTATTTCCCCATAGTGATGAGTAACTTCCTAAAGAGATTGGGCTTGCTACAGTGGCAGCCTAGAGGAACGATTTTGTATACGAGTCAGAGGAATGGAAAGTAATTACAGAAAAAGACATTTCAGAATCTGAGGTGTGTACAGCATAAAGACAGCCTTAGAAAAGAAAGCAGAAGCTACAGGACCTGTGGTTGGGGGTTCAAGCCTTCAGGGGAAGCAGGAGAGGTCCCCTCCAGGAAGGTAACACAGTCATGTTGGTGTTGAACAACGTGTCTGTGTCTTGGGCAGCTGGTAGAAATGGAAAGGGAGGACAGGGAACTGGAAGAATACTAGTTACGGTTTCTGCCTGCATGGATTTCTGGGATCTGCGGAGTTGGACTGGATGAAAACTTTGTCTGAGAAGGGACAGTGGTCTCTGGGTGTGCTTCCCTCTCAGTATAAGGGTGGAAACTCTGCTTTGTGGTAAAATGATAGAACTCACATCTGGATAGGCTTCCAACACAACATCTGCTTGCTGAGATTTGGTTGATTTCATCATTGTCTTCATGGAATAACAAAGACAGCTATTGTGACAAAGAACAAGTATCCTGTGTGCCCATCTCTGTAGCAGCACTAGAAAACCCTTCCTTCCTTAGCAAGCCAAGCTCAGTCTGTTTCCTCTTTTCCTTTCACAGTGTCAAACAGGAATTCTCAGGTCCACTTTAGCACTACAGGAGCAGGTACCTAAAGGCTCCTCCATTCTCCATCCCTCCTCTCTGCTAGGATTCTGTATTCTGTTTTCCTCCTTCCTTTGCTCCCCATTTTTAGTTATTTAAAATCTTAACAAGATTTCATTTAACTTTATTTATTTTGGAGGCAATAATATGTCTTAAATCATTTCTGTAACCCCATTTCTCATAGAATTGGCATATTGTTCCAGTAAAAGAGCAGTAAACATTGTTTTTATTAAAATAACAGGGACCACTGTTATTAACTAGCTTCCAGACAGATTTCTGCATAGAAAGAAAGCAGTTACTAGTGTTGTTTTCACTTCTCTTTAAACTCTTCTGGCTTTCCGTAGCCTTTGGGATTTTAGACTATTTTAATTTGGGGCCATTTTGTGTCATTCTTTTTTAAAAAATTATTTTATTTTATTTCTATGGGCATTTTGCCTACATGAATGTGTGTGTGCCACTGTCATGACTGGTACCTATAGAGGCCAGAAGAGAGCAATGGATCCTTTAGAACTGGAGTTACAGTTTGGAACTGCCATCTGGGGCATTATCATAACTGCATGAGACATAAGTGCATGTAAACCACACACACACATACTGTGCATACATACATATATATACACATATATACATACATGCATACATGTAAGTAAGCTTATAACATGTTTCTCTATGGTTTTTTCAAACATTCTTAGTTTTACTTGTCTCCCCTTCCTCCTCCTGTATGATCCTCCATCCCCAGCTGAAGTTCACATACATTCTTCCCCTTCCTCCTCCTTAGCCCCTATCTGTGCTTCTATTAATTTTTTCAGCAGTGTTCTTTTTGTGTGTGTGTATGTGTGTGTTTTGTTCTTTTGTTGTTGGTTTTTTTGGGGGGGTGCTCTTTTTTTTTTTTTTTTTGGTTTTTCGAGACAGGATTTCTCTGTAGCTTTGGAGCCTATCCTGGAACTAGCTCTGTAGACCAGGCTGGCTTCAAACTCACAGAGCTCCGCCTGCCTCTGCCTCCTGAGTACTGGTATTACAGGTGTGTGCCTCCAACGCCCAGCCCCAGCAGTGGTTTTTGAGGTGAATGGTATGAGTTTTCAACTGTTGGTTTTAGCATGGATAAATAAATAAATTTTGTTTTCTACAGTTGACCTTAGGATGTCATTTTATGAACATTATACTCAAAGCCTTGAGTAAAACTTAACAGTTTTTATTCTTGTTATATACATAATTGTGTGCCTTGAAATTGTAGCTGAAGAAATGAAGTACCCCTATAAAGTTGCCAGTAATTGTTCAGTATACTCCTTAAAAGTTTATCACACACACACACTCACGCACACTCACACACTCACGCACACTCAGACACTTCAACATGTGCCTCTGCAGTGCGAGGTTCTAGGGTGTTGCTACCGGTTCCCAGTGTCTCAGACGTGTGTGTGTGTGTGTGTGTGTGTGTGTGTGTGTGTGTGTGTGTGTGTGTGTAAGGGAGAGGAGAGGGAGAGATCTAACATCATCAATTTACATAGTATTCACCCAAGTTAAGAGAAGGAGAGCTTACTTCTGCCACATATTTTTCTGAGAAGCTCAAGGTACTAATGTGTGAGGCAGATGCTCTTACTCCAGTTCTACAGGTCAGAAAGCTGGGATAGAGCTGCAAAACATTTTACCCAAGTTCTGCCAGCTAGTGATAGTGGTCAGAATGAAATCTAGCCTATGTCTATATGTTGCTGCTAACTGTGTGTGTGCACACGTGTGTGTGTGTGTGTGTGTGTGTGTGTGTGTGGGTGCACACTCCTGTGTACATATGGGCCCATATTTGATATTGGGTGTCTTCTTCAATTTCTCTCTATTTGTTGAAGCAGCCCATCAATTGAACCTGGAACTTGCTAGTACCTAGGAAATATGTCTCTGTCTTGCAAGTACCTGTTCCGCTTTTACAGGGCTTCTGGGGATCTGGACTCTGGTCTCTGGACCTCACACCTGTGTCACAAGCACTTTTTTCATTGCACCATCTCCTCAGCCTGCCCTGCCCTGCCCTGCCCTGCTAAGTGATATATTAGCCTTTCCAATTTGCTAATGTCCTTAGGTGTTAATATTTCTTATATATTTTCCTTTGTATCTCTTTAAGGATTAAAAAAACTTTAAGGTTGTTCATGCCACACATGCAGAACCTCAATCTGACCTTCATTGTCTTTAGCTTTGTTTTTAATAAGATTAGAGATCAGAAAGTTGATGCATAACTCTTACCAACAGGGACAGAGAGTAATCTCAGAATCCCTGCTATCTAACAACAGGGTCTTAGACTTCATAGCAAGTAGGAGTGTTTGTAGGTAGTTCAGCCTAACCACTCTATGTTTAAAGGCCTCTTAAGGGTTCCTGCCATGGCAGGTAGCCCCAACTTCTCTATGCTGCAAAGTGGGTGGTGATGGTAAGTACCATAGGACCCCTGTCTAAAACCGTGTTGTGTTTTTGCAGTGGATAGCCTACTGAAATACACTGGCTATGGAAATGCTGCAGGACTGTTGGCGGCCAGGGGCCTCTTGGCTGGAGGAAGAGGAGATAATTGGTACTCAGAGGATGAGGACACGGACACTGAAGAATACAAAAACGCAAAACCAAAGTATAGTACCAAGCTTCTGTTTATCTAAGTAGCTGTGTCTTTCAGTTAGCGGTTTGTCTTCCACTTTGGCTTTCATTTTCCAGTGCTTTCTCCTGTGAATTTGTAAATTTTCCATCTACTGGTCATATAGTTAGTGACTTCAGCTGATTGAAGGATAGTATTTTATGAAATATGCTGCATGATTCTTTCAACGAGGTCATTACCCTCTGGGTCAGTAAAAGTGCTAGCAATTGTAGATGTTGATCATCAGTTTAAAAGAGCATTATGAGACTGTTTGCCTACATGAGACTTTCTAATGTACAGCTAACATACATGCATACATAATATAACATACAGCTAATAACATCAAGTATTAAAGTTGGTTATTTGATGACTCCATCATTCTCACCCTTACAAGTCAAAAAATATTGCAGCAAGGCACATAGCTGCAAAAGAAAAGAAGCTTGCTCTTCACTGAACAGTCATCAAACACACACTTAGGAGCTTGACTGTTAGCAGGCGTCTCAGTGTCTGGGGGGGACAAACCTGAAACTCGGGGACATCACTTAAGTCAGTATGTGCAATTAAAGATGGTCTCCTTTTCTTAAACTGCCACCTCTCTTCCTTTCCTCCTCCTTCCTTCTGTTCTTCCCTGTCCTTCTCGTCCTCTTCAACTCTCATCCTTAGTTCCCACTTCCTAGCAGTCACTTGAGCTGAGTTTTGGTGGGCTCCATGACTGGATGTTAGTAAGGCACCTTCATTTTAAGCATTGTCAGTGACAGTGGCGTACTATTTTCTATGGCTTTTCTTCCAGAGAATGATGGGGTCATAAGTAGGTAACCAAGAATAGAACATCACAGTCTGTAAAATCAAGTGTAGATTGTGTTCTGTTGACAGGATAATATTAAATTGCCATAAAGTGTAAAAAAAAAAAATAATTCACCCGTCTCTAATCAAGCAGAAACAACATGGCCTATTTTTTGACAAATCATGTTTGAGCACGTGTGTTATTTTTGGCATCCTACTACTCTGAGCTTCAGAAGGACCTTACAGAATGTTACCTAAGAAACAAAGACCTTGGTTGGGGGAAGAATGCTACCAGTGGCTCTAGACCAATGAGTTTTATAGACTACTGCCACTTAGATGCTATGGATTGAGCATCTCTGTCAAGTATTTGAAAATAAGATAGAGAAATTGTACTTATTTAAGTCAATATTCTGAGTTAGTCTTGCAAGTTCTTGTTTTTATTCATTCCATAAACTATATTTTCATATCATTTTAGCACATCTTCTCATTAAGGCTTAAAAATATACTAGTTGAAAAAGTCCCCCTTTTTGTTGTTGATGTGTGTTTGGGGGTGGGTGTTCACGGTGCTGCCCAGGCTGATCTCAAAGTCATAGACTCAAGTAGACCCTTCCCCCTGAGCTTCCCCAGTAGCCGAGACTTTAAGCACACAGCACCACAAGCAGTGAAGATGGAGATGACATTAGCTATTTCTCAAATTCCAGGCCATGTAGACAAAGAGAGCTAAGGTAGGAAACTCCTAAGTGTTCATAGATGGCTGGTGTCTTTGCATTTCAGTATGTATGCTTGATTCTATGTAATAAATGGCTTTTGTATGGTCATGGTAACTAGAAAGTACAGAATGCTGCCATACCAAGGAGCTCAAGGAAGAAGGCACAGGAACATTGGGTCTCTCCCCACGGTGTAGGAAATGAAGGTTCTTTTACATTGCAGAGGTGATGTTAAACCTCAGAAGGCACCCTTGTGTGATCAGTGTTGATGTGTGATCAGTGTTGATGATGTCTTAGCTCTCTGCCATGGAACAAAACCGTGTTTGGGCTTTGTAACCTTAAGGAAATCTTCTCAGCTCTTAAATTTGGCCAGGGTCATGACCAATGTCAAATCTTGGTCTTTGAAACGTTGCTCATTGTAAGCATAAATATGAGTTTTCAAGTATATTACACCCCTTAAAATAGACTAGTGTCCATTTTTCTGTCAAATCTGCCCTCTCAAGAGTAAAATCTGGAGGAATTGTTAATGTAACTTTAAAATATATTCTTCCAGGGGTTCCTGTGGAAGTGACAGTGAGTAAAATACTTTGCCAACAAAACAGCCCTTCAGTTCTCTGGGGAATGACCCACAGAGCTTGAAGAGCTTGTTAGTAAAGCTTCTTACTAGTGTGATCGAACTTAGAAAGTGGGCATCTGATGGGATCGCTCATTTTACTGTCCCCTTTATCATCAGTGTTCCCAGGATCCCACATTCTGCTATGTCTATGTCTATGACATGTCTATTCACAACAGTTGCTAGTATTAGCTAAAGTAATGACTTTTCATTCAGTTGGCCCAATTCCCATTGTCAGAAATGTAAGTGGATTCTGATTAATGCACCAAGGTAACCTGTAATCCTTTATTGGAATCTAAACCCAAGGATTGATTGTATGGCGCTTCCATCCAGGCGTTGGGGCACAGTTAATTTTACAGCAGTCTCTTTTGTGTGTCAAAATAAATGTATTTAATGAACTGGAAACGGCTTTCTGCAGTTAGGCACGTTTAACAAAGTACACTTCTAGAATCCAGTTAGATGCCACATGGCCATCTAGCCAGTCAGGCTGGCTACATTTTCAGATACAGTCCTTTATCAAAGGAAAGAAGCCAACTGTCTAAACTCCTTTTCATTTGTTTGTTTTAGACAGGATCTTGCTTTGTAGCCCTAGCTGGCATAGAACTCACTATACAGGTTAGGTTGGCTTCAAACTCACAGAGATCCACCTGCCTCAGTCTCTCAAGTACTGGGATTAAAGGCCTATACTAACACACCCAACTAAATTTTAATTTTATACTGCTTTTTTTTTGTTTGTTTTTTGAGACAGGGTTTCTCTGTGTAGCTTTGAAGCCTATCCTGGCACTCGCTCTGGAGAACAGGCTGGCCTCGAACTCACAGAGATCCGCCTGCCTCTGCCTCCCGAGTGCTGGGATTAAAGGCATGTGCCACCAATGCCCGGCTATCCTGCTTTCTTTTATGTCTCTGAGCATAGAGCCCCTTAATAACTGGTGTGGTTTACATCATTCTAAGCATTAGTAGAAAGATGTATGTTTAATGTGTTTTTGGCTTATTTTCAGCTTTCAGTCCTTAGCTTTCAGGTTGGGTGCATTGGCATCCAGAGGTGTCTTACTGTGCTGCCTTATAGAGAGGCAGGGGGAGAGGCAGAGTCAAATGTGGTCAGATCCCGGGGTGATTTCTGAGTCTCCACGTGAGCTTGTGGGGTACAGAGCCTCAGCACTGTGCTCAGCACTCTTGGGATAGCTCTCCTGAGAACACTGACTTACATGCTGTGGCAGTGGTCGTGTGGACTACCCACACACACTGTCCAACTCAGCAGAAGGCACCATGCCTGAGTGTTCTTCCCCTCTGTCATGGTTTTGTTGTGCTGCTCTCATCTGGTAGTAATTGTCTTGTTAATTGTATAAATTGTATGGCTTTACTATTTCTTAAAGTGAATGAGCCATGTAGATTTTCTCTTTGCCTAATCTGGACTGTGTTTGTACATACTAGGATTTAACTAATTTAGGAACCAAGGTTTATGACTACAAGCACCCTGTGAAACACATCCAAAATCTGGTCATGAAAAGACCCTAGTTGAAAAAAAAAATCATTATTGCTTCTGCCACATCCACACCACCTTCACACACTTGTCAGCCTTTGTAATACTTGCACTTTCACAATGGAATTGTCTCAGTTCCCAGGCTGACTGTCCTTCTGCCTCCGTTTGCCAAGGGCAGTGATTTTAAGTGTGTGCCACCACAGCTGGCTTCATAGAAAGCTCCATCAGTCAGCCAGGCTGAGCTCAAACTCAGTCTCACTGCCATAGCCAGAGAGTGCTGGGATTACAGGTGTGTACTACAGTGCCAGTTTGCCTACAGAACTTATCATTAGTCACTGTCCTATGCCCTCCCCTAGCCTCTTCCTGACTATAAAATGAGAAACCTGATATCCATGAAATCACATATAATAGTTGTCCTTTGTGATTAGCCAATTTCACTTAGTATGTCATCAGGAGTCACCCATATTGTGGTATGTATCAAAATATCCTCCCATATTAAGACTGAATGGTTCTCCATTTTACTATATAAACATTGTGTTTATCCATTGGCTATCAAGGGACACTTGAAATACTTCCATCTTTTTTCTCTTATGGATAATACTGCTGAACATGAGTGACCTGGTATCTCTTCAAGTCCCTGCTTTCGTTTCTCTTGAGTGTGTATCACATGTTCAGTTTTCTGAGAAACTCCGTATTGTTTATGACTCAGCTGCACCATCTTGTATTCCTGTTGAAGTCATAGGGTTCAATATATGCTATATGAACACAGTATATGTTGTTCTATACTATGTGCTCACAGTATGTGTTATTTTGCATAGGGTGCCTGTCTGTGTTTTCAGTGGTAAAAAGTGAGGACTGTATCCTACCTACCACTCCATTCCATGAGTCAGAGAGGCACACAGGCTTGTCCTTCATGCAGCTCCCCTGTTCATAGCTCCTTACATGGTTGTCTTTCTAAGATAGTTCCAGAACAGAAAATAAATGTGTCTGCACATGCCTTGGTTCCATGAAAACACAGGAGTACCACTTGACTCAACTATCATTCAGTAAATATTCATACACACCTGTCTGTCATGACTGGGTCTTTATAATGCACTCAGAATTAAGTTGTGTCTATTGCTCTTAATTATCACCATGCTGACACTTGGGCTCTTTCCAAAATCCTTTCCCCTTTGGCTGGCACTAGTGACAGAACCAGGGCTTTGTACATGGTAAGCTGGTTCTCCACCACCAAATCACAGCCATAGCTCTCAGTCATGTTTTAGTTCACCATCTAACGGACCTTGTGGGTTCCACCTTTCAACTTTTCATTCTACTCTCAACCCAGCAGTTATTGTGATCCCCACAAAGTACGAGTCAAATAATGCCAGTTGCTCAAAACTGTCTAGGGACATTGTCCAGATGGCTGCTGTCT